ACCAGTGAGACTCAACTCTGGGACTTTGAGGGGGACACTGGGAAGCAGGAATGTCTGCTGGATCCGACACCTGTGGGGCTGAGGGAAGCCTGAAGTCGCCCACTATATGGGGGGAGCCTGCCGAGACTGAAGTCCCCACTGAAGAGGGTCCAGCTGAGATAAGTCCTAAAGACAGCTTTTGAGCCCCTGAATCCAGCTGCCTAAGCATGTCTCCCTGGACAGTGAGGAAATGCCTTCTCTTTCTTATCTGAGCTCAGTAACTGTCATGTACAATTGGAAGAATACCGATGACTTGGTGGCAGGTCCTGATAGGGCGTCACTGGAAATCAGGTTGGCGAGGAGGAGACAGGAGCAGAGGATGCTGGCTGTGAGCCTGGAGCTCCCCAGCACGGCCTCAGATAGTCTGCCCAGGACCTGCAGCAGAGCAGCCCTGGGCCCCTCCGGGCCTTTGCACACGCTGCGGTCACTGATGCAATGCCTCTCCCTCGTATCTGTGGAAGTTCCTACTTCAAGACTTAGCACAGAAGCCACCTCCCCTGGAAGTCCCCTTTCGCTCTGTTGGTCCACCTCATCATACCTCTCCCCTGCATCGTTGCACTGGACACAGTTGCTCGGTGGCCTGAAAGCTGCCCATACCCCAGGGGAGCTGTTTCCCCCAGGAGCAGGATGATGGGGGAGACTTGGAACTTAGATTCTGCCAGCGGGAGATGCAGGGAGCAGGCGGAAGGGGAGAACAGCACTCAACTGACTGAGCCAGTACCCCAAAGTCACAGAGCAGTAAACCAGAAGTGGCTTGAAGAGACAAGATCAAGTGCACGGTTCTGAGTGATGTGGGGCCTCAGGAACCAAGTGAACTGCAGCTAGAGAGGAACAAATGGAGCGATAGCATCGCACATGTGACCCGGCCCTGTGACGCGAGGGGCTGCCCCTGTGAGCGGCTCCAACTTCCCCCACAGACCAGGAGCCCCGCGGGCCCGGCTGGCACCCCACAGCACACAAAAGAGGCTTGAAAAGGGGATGGGACGTGCAGAGTCACAGGGCAGACAGTCTAGCTATGCTGCACTCCGCTCTTTGACCCTGGGCCTCACTCTCCTCATCTGAGAACGGGACCCGGGACCCTGGCGGATAGGGAAGACTCACCAGAGACAGCCCTGCCTTTCCGCCCATTTATCCTGCGACTCCCTGCAATGTCGGCTGAGCCTGGGACCAGCGTGGAACACAAGGCACACTCTCATGATTCAGCTGGTTTGGGTGGGAGGGGTGCCGGCAGCCCCCCCTCCTCAGGGCTCACAAATGGGTCTGCTTCTCAGAAAAGCAAGGCCAGTGGCTATGGCCTTCCAGCCTTCCACAGGGCTGTTTGAAGCTAGAAATGAAGCACATCTACCCCAAGGGCAGCCTCGCTTCTCCAGGCCTCTCCCGGGTGGAGTGCCCTCGGTTACATGGTCCTCCCACTCCCAGAGTCGCTTGCCTTCCGCCAGGGTCTGGAGCCTTCTCCAACACTGCCATGACTTGCAAAAACTCAGACTCCCCATCACAAGCCCAGAAACCACCTGAGATTGCTCTTCCTCTGTCACCCTCTGCGGTCTCATCAGAGCATGGCTCTAGCTGCCCAACTTCAAGTAAACAGGACATCCGCCACCCCCCTCCCCCACAGCTGCTTGTTCACCCTTCTTTCTGTGAAAGGATCTAGTCTGGGGAGGACACAAACCTACCTGGCAGAGCTGTGCGGGCCCCAGCGAAAGGAACACGAGAAGAAAGGAGCACAAAGCAGAGAGGGCTTGGGCGTAGCGCAGGGGTCTCTGGACCTCCTGCATGTCCCTGGATCCCCCACCCACGGAAAGAGGACACAGGCGTTGCCAGAGCAGGCCACCTGCTCTGCTGACCCGCCCAGGCCCCTGGCCCTGGGAAGGTGGGCTGGGAGTGAGTGAGGACTTCCACACCCGGGCAGGCTGGCGTGTGAGACCACACAGCAATTAGCCAGCCCGGAGGGCTAAGGGGGCGCCCAACCCGGCCTGGAGGGCTAAGGGGGCGCCCAACCCGGCCTGGAGGTGTCAGGGAAGCTCCCCTGGGGGGTCCTTATTTAAATCGAAGGCAACAGGACCAGTTCGAGGCAATGGAGACAAAGCAAGGCTGTGGGTGGCGGGGCTGAGAGTGGCCAGGCAGGGGAGGTGTCCCAGCAGAGGAAGAGGCAGGTGCAAAGGCCAGGAGGCTCACAAAGGTGCAGAGGGCCAAGGGACTAAAGAAGGTGGCTCAGCAGGGTCGGAGCAGCTGGGGACACTGGTGCAAGATGCAGCCAGCACCGTGGGCAGGTGAGGGTCCCGGACCAGCAGAGGGGAGAGTCTGCGGCCAGCTGCGAGGGACTGCAGCCAGACTGGCCACACTGCTCCCGGGGGTGGGCGGCTTGGCCTGGCTGGCATTTTGCCTACAGCCATGCCTCTGTGAGCAGGAGGCCACGTGAGCCATGCTCCAGGTGCTGGGAGAGCTTCCAAAGGAGCAGGGCCTCCAGGGGTGTCCCAGGGCCATTCTGATCAGGAGGTGGTGAGGTACCATGCTAAGCCACACCTGGCAGGGAAGCTGCTGAAACCTCGAGGGGGGACCTGAGGCTGTCATGGTGGTGGTGGGTGGACGGGGATCAGGGAGGCCAGATGAGAGATCACAGCAGGACATCTCGCCCACCCTCACACCAGGGTGACTTTCCCCTATCTCCAATCCTCTCTGTGGGGGCCTGAAGCCCCCTCTGCCCCCAGGGTGCCTGGGAGGAAAGGCCCTTTGGAACCAGGAGATGTGAGTCCCCATTCTGTAGCACATTGCTCAGCCAATGGCCACAGCCAGGCACAACACGGCCCCAAGCTCAGTGGCCACATCGCCATAGCTGGCCAATTCTCTGAAGGCGAGTGTGTGCACTGAGGTGCAGGCGGGAGCTGTCCTTCCACCAAGCTCGCCACCCACTTGAGGTGGACGTCCCCCACTTTTCTAGGGGCCAGGGGAGAAGTGGGGAGCAGAGCATGCAAGGGGAGCTCTGGGGAGGTGCTCAGATCAGAAAGGAGGTATCCTTCTGCGACATGGCTGAGCTAAGATTCCAGTGGGGAAGGGCCCAGCCCCTCGACGTTGGTGCTTCAGACCAGCGCAGGCCTGTTTTCAAGAGCAAATCTCAGGGCTTGCCTTTGCAGAGAGACGGGGGGCTGGAAGCAGCACAGCAGTGCAGAATAACTAATTAATGATGGTAAAGTATTGTGAAAGAGGAAAGGTTACATAACCCCTAAGTGGTGGGGTTATTATTTTTCATGCAATATTCATACTGTGCTCTTCAGCCTCTGGGAAGCTTCTCTCTGAAGTCCTGGGGGACCTGGCCGAGGGGAGCACGTGCCCAGGGATCGAGGCTGTGGGATGGCAGCTGCCCTGGCCCACAGGGACAGAGCCATGATGCTGCAGAAGAAACTGCAACTTGCAGCCAACGCCGAGCCCCTGGCAAAGCCAGTGCAGCCACACTGAGCCACCTGCCTCCATTCACCAGGAGAAGCCACTCACTGATCCCTGCCCTGCGCCAGCTCTGTGCTGGGCATCTCCACTCTTCTTATCGTTTTTGAGGCTGCTCTTGACATTTACAGAGCCCGGAGCACACCGCATGTCTAAATATTTAAGCTACACATCAAGACGCAGGCACGGCCCAGCCCCCATGCCCCGGACCCTGTAGTCCACTCCCTAGAGGCCCTTCCAGAGGGGCTCAGCCCGGGGTGGCAGGGCTCAACCAGCAGAGCTGCAGGACATAGGCCTGGCCTGGGCCACCTGGAGCCACCCAACCTTTCCAGACGAGGGGTGGGGACTGACCCCCTCGGACTGTGCAGAGGCTTCTCCCACTCAACCCCTGGCTCCCCCCTGAACTCCTGGGCACCAAGGGAGAGAGGCAGCTCCATTACCTGGGACTCTGGTCTGCTGGTAATTGAAACGAAAGCATGTCTTCCCTCCCTCTCTGGCTCCCACATGGCCACCAGGCTGCGCCTACTTCTCCCCCCTCCCCCCGCCCACAACTGCCACTTTCAGTTGCAGGGGACCCAGTGCCCACACAAGTCCCTTTCCCTTTACCTGTGTGTTGGCCCAGATCCTGGACTTTCAAAAGATTCCTGACAAGATCAAAAGAAAAATACATCTTTGCATTTGAATCTGCATGTATATGCAAGGCCCTTTGGCAGGGGACAGGACAGGGGCCCCTCTTGGGGGACAGTGGCTGTCATTTCATGGGAAAGCCCTAGGAGGTAACGTGACCTCTTCGGGACCACGTGCCTGAGTATGAGGGATCTGGGGTTTGAACCAGAGTCAGCCTGGCTCTGGGGAGAGTCTCACACCGATAAGGAGGGTGAGTAGTCACCACGAGTATCTTCATATGTCATGTGTGGCTCAATGATCAGGCTCACCTGCAGCTTGGGAGGGCCTCTGTCCCCCAGCACCCCAGGGGCAGCTTGGGACCCCTCCCTGGGGCTGCCACACAGCCTGGGCCTGCCCTGTCCAACAGGGGCTAAGCATGGGCTGGCCACAGGCTGTGACAGACACGGACAGTCCAGCCACACAGCCCAATCTCAGACCCCTCGCTGCTCCCCATGGGGAAGTGGCTGTGAGAGTGCGCTGAGGCGCCAGCAGCCAGCATGAGCCCGCGCAGCCCTGGACACCCAGTCACCTTCCCCCGACCTCCAGCCCGCATGCGGCATGCAGCAGAGCCCTCTTCCTTCCAGGCTGGTGAAAGTCCTGCAGGATGACGTTCAACGTCCTCCCCAGGGCTGACCAAGCCCTCCTCCCTACTGGCCTGTGTCACCTCTCGCACGGCCCCGGCGGTCCCTGCTGCCCTCACGCCAGGCCTCGGCAGAGGCTGTCCTTTCTCCTCTCTTCCTAGAACGCCACCCCTCTGCTCCCAACCAGACAGACCCCTGCTCGTGTTCTCACAGACTGGCTCCCGAGCTCACATTCCACCTCGAGCACCAACCAACTCACAGACAAGTGCCACTTACTGAGCAGGTGTGGGCGGTGGCCCAGCCAGACTGGATCCCTGCCCTGACAGAGGTGACAGTCCAGTGGGAATGAGAGTGTCTCCATGGCCCTAGAGGGGCATGGCACTCCTCCCACGCAGAGGAGATGACGTGAGGAAGTCTCGAGGTCGGACAGCCACCCGACGGATGTTCCCTGGGGCTGGAAGCAGGAACACCAGGGTTGGCCCATGGCAGAGCTGGGATGTCCGTGGGCACAGCATGCTTTGGTCTGTGCTGGCCACAGTGGAGCAGCTGAAGGATTTCAGCCAGGCAGAGGCATAATCAATTTGCACCCGATAAGACTCCCCGCCAGGAAGCCCTCCAAAATGCCCAGTTCGGATCAAGGGTTTCTCCTCTGCTTCTTTTTGTGCTTCCTTCAACTCAGCATGTCACACACTACAATGTAACTGTCCCCATAGACTGTCAACTCCTCAGGTTGGAACCTGACTCACCTATCTTTGCGGCCCAGCAAAGTTTGTTGAAGGCTATTGTTGCTTAAGCAAAGAGAAAGCTCTGGATGTCTGCACATCCCAATCCTCTGGGACGGCCTGTTGGCCCAGCTCCAAGCCCTTTGCCTCTTCCCGTGGACGGGAGGCAGCCGCCATCTGCTTCATCGCACGAGCAGGAGAGGACGGGCACAGTTCCTCTTACCGAGACCCACTAGCCAGTTATTTAGTAGACTCAAATTTAATAAAAGGGACCGTTCAAGCAATTCTGGCAGATAAACGAGGGTCTGGGTGTGACATTAATGCTTACAGTGACTTGAAAGAGGAAGCACAGATGGCTTAATTTGGGAGCTGGTGGAAAAGTCTGCATAGTTGTGTGTCAGCAGGGCGGGCTCAGCTTGGTGGCCTCCCAGCCGTGGCTGTCACTGGGCGTTGAGGACCAGGGGCTCACTCTGCCTAGGCTGCACCTACTGCCTTCACCCCACGGGGCACCCCCGTCTGGAGCCCTGTGATCAGGGGTGTGTGTCAGAGGGACGCCAGGTGGCCCAGGCCCCAGCCCAGACACTAAACACTCATTGCAGACTTCCACGTCTGGAACAACGGAATGCACTTACTCCTCCCTGTTCCTCTCGCTAAGGGTAGCTAAAACCCTTAGCTATTTTATGAAAAAACAAAAATAAGAAAACCCCAAAAGGTGGAGAGAAGAAGGCAGAACAAATAGGAACCTTGAAACCCCAGAAGTTAAAGGACAGTGAATTTCCTGGGTTTTCTGTCGCCTCACGGATCCTGGCCCAAGTGACAGAGAAGCTGGCAGCCTAGAAACGCCAACAGGCACAGGCCCAGGAGCCACAGGGAAGCCATTTCTTGCAAGCCAAAAATCTGGGAAAGTGTTAGCCTAGAAAGACGAGGCTTCTAGACAATAAGCAATTCACAACGGTCAAATGGCACAGAAAAACTGTGCCCCCACCCGCCCCGCCACCCTCACACCAACAAATGCGAGTGGGGACCTGGACTGCCACCCTCACTGGGCACTAACTAGGAGCCCAGCTCCCCACGGTGGGTGGTCAGAGAGCCAAGTGGGGCAGCGGGCCTCCATCCCCACCAGATGAGAAGGCCCCCACCCCCAGGCGGTGTCAGCACGTGGGGAACCTGGACTTCCCTCCACCTGGCAGTGACAAGGAACCTCTGGCCCTCCTGCTTGGGGGTGTGGTCAGAGGAGGGCTCCCACCACTGCCCACCAACCTCAAGGCCACCCCGCCCCACGGTGTCAGTGGAGAGCAGTGGTGAGCCTGTCTCCAGCAAGGGAGGTATGGGGTACCCCGCAGGGAGCCTGCCCTCCACCCCACACAGAGGAACGGCAAGCCCCTCTGCCAGCAGGTGTCAGTGGGGCCGAGGGAGGGACCCGGGCTCCCCCTGTCTGGCAACAATGAGGAAATGTCCCTCTTCCCCCACCAGAATGATGTCTGAGGAGGCCTGTTAAAATAGAAGATTTAAATAAGATTCAGAGTTTTATAATATAATACCCTAAATGCCCAAATTTCAATGGAAAATCACTTGTCATAGCAAGAACTAAGAAAATCTCTATTTGAATGAGAAAAGACACTCAGCAGATGCCGACACCTGGGTGGCACAGGTGTCAGTATTATGCAACAGAGAGGTTAGAGTGACCATCATAAAAATGCTTTAATGAGCAACCACGAAAACTTTCTCAACTTGATAAAGAATATCTACAAAAACACCTGCAGCTAAAATCAAACTTAATGGTAAGAAATGAAATGCTTTCCTACTAAGATCAGGAACAAGGCAAGGATATCTGCTGCCACCAATCTTATTTAATCTAGCACTGAAAGTTCCTAGCCCAACGAGGCAAGGAAAGGAAATAAAAGGCGTAGTGTTCCAAAAGGAAGAAATGAGGCTGACCCTATTTGCAGTTATGATTGTCAACATAGAAAACCCCAAGGGATCTAAAAAATATTCTTTTTAGAATAAGGGAGTTCAGGTAGAGTGTAAGATCAACACACACGAATCAATCATATTTCTATATACCAAAAATTATACACAGAAAGAAAATTTTAAATACAACAGGATTTGCAGTCACACACAGAAATACTTAGGTATAAGCCCGATGGCACACCACTGAAGAGAGAAATCAAAAAGGATCTTAGCAAATAGAGACACATACCAAGTTCATGGGAAATTCAACACTAAAAATGCCAAGTCTCCCCAATTGATCTATAGGTTTAATGAAATTCCTATCAAAAGCCCAGCTTTTGATTTTTTCTGTAGCTATACAAATATTATTCTAAAATGTACATGGAAAGATAAAGTAACCAGAAATGCTAAAAAGTAATTTTGAAAAAGAAGAATAAAGTAGGAGGATTCATCCCTACCATCTTGAGACTTTGTAGCTATAGGAATCAAGACTGTAGTATCCCCAGAGGGACAGACACACACAAAAATGAGAAAGAAAAGAGAACCCCAAAATGGCCCCACACAAGTCTTACCAGCTGATTTTTGACAAGGGAAGATAATCAGTTCAATAAAGGAAGGACAGTTTTTTTTTAACCAATGATACTGGAGCAATTGGTTATCCATAGGTCAAAAAAAATTTATCTAAATTTATATTTGTACAAAAAATGGATCAGAGATTTAAATGTAAAATGAGGAACTATATAAATTTTAGGATAATATCTTGAGGACTTAGGGCTTGGTGAAAATTCCTCAGACATGATATCAAAAGCACAATCCATGGCAGGAAAAAATCAATAAATTAGACTTAATTAAGTACTCTTGTTTTATAAAAGATGGAAAGATAAACTGTAGATGAGGAGAAAATATTTGCAGACCACATATTTGACAAAGGGCTTGTAACTAGACTATATTAATAACTCTTAAAAAATCAAAAAGAAAAGAAAAAGCAAGCAATCTAATTAGAACATGGGAAAAAGTCATTAGGGAAATTCTTGCCGGATCAGGAAATTTCTCTTACCTGCCTGGGCTCCTAGCCTCTTCCTCTACCTCCTGCTGACTTGCCAAGAGACCTGGCATGCTCGTTTTCTTTTGTTACATTTCTGGAGATTTGTTGCCACAAAAGAAAACTAATACATCAAGCATTCCTTCTCACTGAAATCTGCACACCACATGATTCTGAACCATTGCCTTGGCAGGAACTTGGAAGAGGGGAAAAGCTGTCAGGAAAGATTTTTACAAAGATCTCAGGGACTAAGAGCCAAGGAGTAAAGTGATGACTTTGACTTGTAAGATAAAAACGAATTTAATTCTCTTTACCCTGGCCTCTGCCATCTTTTCATTATAAATTAAGGAGGAAAAAAAGCCTCTTCTCTCTTCAATAACTCTGGCTCCTCCAGTGAAGAATGTTTTAGGCATGGGAACATAATTAAAGTGATATTGCATTTCTTTTATTATCATGATTATAATAATACATAGATTTCAGCAGATGCTTTCCAACAGAATTAAAACAGAGACAGATGGCTGACATTTTGGTTGGAATTAGAGTCCATAGACATATTTTATATGGCAGCTTTTTTAAAAGGAAGATGCAAAGCTCTAATAAAATGCCTCGAAATTTCATCAGATATTTTCAATAGCTATTCTTAGATCAATATTTTAGCAAAATTTAAAAATATCGACCAGTTGGTATTTGAGTAGCAAATAATTTATTCAGAATTGTGACAACCATAATCCAAAGCCTAGTTTTCAGTCTTTTGTCATTACATGAAAAGTCCATCAGCCTTTTTGAGATACCCCGTATCTCCAAGTGTGAGGCGCTGAGAAGGGCTGTCCTGACTATGCAGTCTTCCGGTAGGGAACGGGTTACTTGAATCTAATCACTAGGAAATATCTTGCAAACCCCCAAATGAGGAATGCTCTGTGGGGAAAATAAAAGGGTGGGAAGCTGTCTGCTTCAATAATATTTTTGTTGTGAAAGACAAACAAAGGCTGTGGGGGTGTTCCAGATTCAAGAAGGCTAATGTGGCACGTTCCTGCCCTGGGCTGGGGCATGGCCGGGGGCACAAGACAGGCTATAGGGGACATTACTGGGTCCACTGAAAGTATCGGAATGCGATCAATAGAGTATATAAAAGTATTTTGTCAGCATTAAATTTCCTAAAGTTGATAACTATACTGTGGTATATAAGAGAATATCTCTATTTTAAGAAATAAACACTGATTTATTTACAGGTTTAAAAACACCAATGATATATACAATTTGTCTTCACAAGTTTCAAAAAAATAAAAATTATGTGTATGTGTCTATATACATTTATATATAGAAAGAGAACGTATGATCAAGCAAATAAGGTAAATTGTTTAAAATAGGCAAATCATGTGAATGTTCTTTGTACTATTATTCTTGCAACTTTTCTTGAAGTTTGAAATTATTGTGAAATAAAAAATTGAAAACAATTTTTAAAAAGTTACATAAGTTTCATGATGTCTTTTCTGTTCTCGACTAGGAGACAGTTTGGTGTTAGAGCTAAAATTTCAGCTTTGGGGATCAAAATGCCTCAGTCTGAATCCCAAATCAGCCACTAATTTGCTACTTTGATCTATCTTTATCTCAGTTTCCTTACATGTAAAAATGGGTGTGACTATAATAAGAGCATCTACCTTTGGGGCAGGGCTGATAAATGAGTGCTGAGAGCAGCCCCTGCCCAGGGTGGGCTCTCAGTAAGTGGAATTTTATCTCCTTCCAGAGAAGGAGCTCTGCATGCAAGAGGAAGTGAACTAAGAGCCAAGATGACTCTAAAAGCAATGACAAACAGAAGGGGAAATGTTACCGGCAAGCTATGGTAAGCAAAACAGTGTGACATAATTCCAACAGAGACAGATGCAAAAGGAGACACAGAAGAGGAAGCGCGAACAGCTCAAGCATGTATTAATGGGTACGGAAGAGATGCAGAGTCTATTTGCAGCACAGAATCTTTGTCAAGCAGGGAGAAAGGAAAGGTTAGCACATAAATGATACTAGGAAAATTGATGTTCCATACAGAAAATATTAAAATTAGATCTTTTCTGTAAGCCATACATAAAAACAAATTCCAAATAAATTAAAGACCTAATCATAAAAAATGCAATAACTTAAAGAAAAAAAGAAAAAATGGTTTTTAGACAAGACATAAAAACCAAACACACAAAAAAGGAAAAAACAATAAATGTGATTATATCACATTGAGAGACTTATGCATAGCAAAGGATACCACAAAGATAAAAGATAAACAACATACCCAGAGAAGATGTTAGTAACTCATGAAACAGACAAATAATTAATATCCAGAAAAGAATACATAAAAGACCAGTAATCAAATAGAACTTGGAAGAAAGTTCTATATAACGAGGAATTCATTGAAAAAAGAACTGACTGGCTGATAAATACAGGGAAATGTATATTCTCAGTAGTAAGTAAGAGCCCACAACCTAAAACTTGGAGAAAATATTTTACACCAACTGGCGACAATGAAGAAGTCTGACAATATCAAGTGTGGCCAAGTATGTAGGGGAACAGATATGTCCACGGCAATTCGACAATATCCAATCAAAGGAGAATTGGTACAGCAACCGCCTTCCAGGGTGTCAGCCAGAACACAGCATCATGCAAGTTCTGGGAGGGGGGCCCCGAAAGGGTCAGGAACAACCTAAATTCCATGAGTACAAGAGTGGATAAGCAGACGGATAAACGACAGTGTGCCCACAGGAGTTACAGAGTGGCTGGGATAACGCGTGTGGTCTAATTACAGGATGGTAGAGAGTGCAGCATGTGAACCATGCCGTGGCCGGTTCCTGGGAAGTTTTGAACAGCTACCAGGCGGCACACAAAGGAAGCGCGGCCAACCATGCGGCAGCTCCCTCTGGAGGGGGAGGGGCGAGCAGGACACAGGAAGGGAGCCAGAGGGCTTTAATTCCATCCCTAACATTCTATATTTTTTTTGATGGATGTGTTGATGTAGCTACCTACTTTTAAATACAGGTATCCAAAGAAAATTAACATTTGTTAATTCATGATGTTGGCTCCATAAATGTTTGTTCCATTAATCTCAGTTTTTAAAAAAATATTTATAGAGTATTCCAAAACTATTTTTTCAAAAACACTCCGGTGATGCTGTGTGTGGAAAGCAGTGGCCTGGCTTCTCATCCTAGGGCCCTCGCCAGCCCGGTCAGCTGTGTGCTTTGGGAGCGTGGGTGTCACAGGGTGACCGGGCAGATTCATCGGCCATTAAGGAGAAAGCCCAGTTTTTTCTTCACTTGTGTTCAGTTAGCTGTCATGTTATTTTTTGTTCAAAGAAATTTATTTATTGGAGCTAAAAATGTATATGATCATTATGAAAAATTCCAATACAGAGAAACTAAGGTGCCCCATAATCCTTCTTCCTAGAAAGAGTAAGGGATACTCGGAGCCCCATTTTCCAGACTTCCTTCCAGTCAACTTTCAGATAGATCAGCAAACATGTGCCAACCATAACTACAACTACGTAACTCTATAGCTGTCGCTTTGTCACTCCTGTTAAGTCCACGTCAGTTCCTAGGAAGATGTGTCTTTCATCTAAACCTATCGGACATTGTTTGAAACATTAAAGTGTAACAGATTTAGCCAGAGTCCTACTGATACTCACTTTTCTGGATTTCACTGTGGTTTTAGCAGCGCTGAATAATATCCTATTAAATATTTTGGGAGGCCCTTATCCTATTATTTCATTAGGATCAATTCCTAGGGGTAGAATTTCTGGGCAAAAAGTTGTGAATAGCTTGCACTTTGCTACATATTGCCAAATTGCCCTCTGGAAAGATTGGATCAATTAAACCCCTCGAAGTGAGTGCTGACCACGCATCAGACACTGTGCTAAGAGCTTTAAATGTGATAACAGTTTTAATTCTCTCAATAGCCCCATGAGGTAGGTACAAGCATTATCCCCAATTTACAGATGAGAAAACTGAGCACAGAGAGAATGAATAACTTGTGCATGTTCTCCAGGCTGGTAAGGGGCAGAGCAGGGATTAACATGCAGGGAGTCCAGCCCCAGGCACACCCTCCTACCCACTGCATGTCTCTTCTAATGGCATGTGAAAGCACTAGCACGCCAAGATGCTCTGGCCAAATAATCCAAACCTTACTGATAAAATACAGGTAGTGGCGGTGCCTGCTTCGTAGAGCTGTTGTGGGACTGAATGAACTAACGGAAAGTGTTTTGTAGAGTACCTGGCACACCAGAAATACTCAAAATAAAGGAAATGGTGTCATTTCCTTTATTATTTGTGAGCTTGAGCATTTTGAAGGCATGTCTTTTATAATTCTTCAATGAATTGCTTGCTCATAAAATTTGCACATTTTTCATCGGATTTCTGAAATTTAACCTTGTTTTTCCCCACAGGACAGACTGGTTTGCTTATCTAGATAGACGAAAAGCAGAAACAAGGATCAGAGCTCCTCCCACACCCCCTCCCAGGCCGGCACACCAGACTCGGCTGCCCGATGCACTCTTGGCTGCTGCTAGCGGTGTCTGCCGTTCCCTCAGGGCTGCTGCCGGGGCACGGAAGCTGACAGGTGCTGTGTCTGTCGTCTGTGTGCTGACTCCCAGAGGCCAAGGTCTTCCTTCTCCTCGGCCTCGTGCGGGCTTCAGGCGGAGCCCTGCTGCCCGCGGGCCTCACTCCGCCCGGCCGGACGCAGCCCGCTGCTCCAAGACGCAGATTTCGTCTGAAGACAGCGGCTTGCCTTGGAGTCTTGGCCCAGGGCAAGTTGTGGGAAAGAAATCTTTGTGTGTATGAGGAACATTTGCTGCTTTTTAGGAAATAGCAGTTGATGTCAAAGGGGACTTTAAAAAGTTGCATGTTTCTCTCTGTCTCTGTCTCAGTGCGTGTTGCTACCATCTCTCTGCGCCTGTCTCTCTCTGGAATTCCTCCTCTCCGTCTGCTTCTCCGGCCTGGGACTCTCCCTCTCCAGCGGCCCTTACTTTTCTGTCGGCCTCTGCCGCTCTCCCTTCTCCCTTCTTCCAACGCACACATGAAAGATGATTTTAAAAACCAAATATGCTCTCGCTCCAGGTAACAAGGAGTCCACTTCACGGCACAGTAACACGGATTCGCCATTGAGGGTGGGGCAGCATCCACATGCCTACGTTTTCTCATTCTATGTAATTATTTTTTTTGACTTGATTAAATTTAACTTAATTCTCTCACAGTCCTAAAAAGTAAGCATTATTATCTCCCATTTCATTGGTGCAGAAACTTACACTCAAGAGAGTGTCAGAAGCTTATTCTAGTTTATTTATAGTCTAGCTTATTCTAGTTCAGCAAATGGAGCCGTAGTTTAAACCCAGATTTTCCCAAATCCCAAGCCCAAAGCTCTTTCTGTCACATGATCCTTCCTATTCATCCTTAGCCCAAAAGCATTTGTAAGTCGCAGCTGAAATGAAACAAACAAGAGCACTGCTCACTGTCAAAGTGAGAGAGGCCATCTGTCCACAGGGACATATCCATGCTTTAGGGATCGAGCCCCAGCGGGTTAAGGCTCCTCCAGTTGCTTGCTCACTGAGGCCCCCAAGGCCAGAGAAGAGCAAGCCCCCCCACGTCTGCACGCACACTCACCCAGGAGGAGCAGGAGGGCTCTCAGCACGCCGGCCCCTGAGCCCATGCTGGCGCTCTGCTCCTGGTCCTGCAGGCCAGGCACAGTGAACCCTGTGGCCAAGGCTCCGGGGACAGGAACAAAGCCCCACGTGACCGATGGGGAAGGAAGCCACGGCTGCTCAGTTCCTCTCAGCAATCTCTGAGGGCAGGGCTGAGGCAAGCCCCTGTCGCCCTGGGCTCTGCCTGGCGGTGGTGGGCAGCGTGCCCACGATGGGGACTCACCTGCACCCAGTGTCAGCTCTGTGACCCTCACAGCCCGTGTGGCTGGGCGCGGTTACTCGCCCAAAGACCCGTGCTGGTGAGCGTCAGGAGGGCACGGGGGCAAAGCTGGTCTGCCCCGAAGTCGGCCCTGGCAGCAGCCACCCGCCTCGGCAGGACCAGGAAGAACCCTCCAGCCCAGAGCGCGGCCTGGGCACCGTTTGTGCCAGCGACCCTCCCGAGTCTGGGGAGACCCATCGCTCTCTCCTCGGAGTAACAAGTTTAAACGCCCAAGGTAGAGCATATAGGGACTATAAAAGAAATCAGTGGTATTAAAACATAGTCATTAAAATATTTTTTAAAAACCAGATGTGTGGTATAGAAGTACACATGCTGCTTCATGCACACAGTAAGATCTAGTGGCAGATAAAACGGACACCACAGTCTCAACTTAGTGATGAACGCAAACAATATGTGAAGCTGCCTGTGACAGCTGGAGTGTTGATGCGCCACCTGCGATTCCCATGAGGAATGAAGTCACCGCTGGTGCTATCACTGTGCTTTGTTTGCTGCACCTGCACCCGTGTTGGAAGGAAATGTTAAGTTTCTGTCAAGGTCAGAGAACAGAGGCGTGATCGTTTCCTACCCAAGTTCACAGACTCCAGGTCACACGCCCTGCCTGGAGGAAGCTGGCGGTGACACAGGCTCAGCCCGCAGCCTGCAGCCACACGCTCCTGCAGTTCTCCCGTGTGCCTGCACATTGTCAAACGCTTCACTCCACGCACCCACCCCAGCGCACAAGAAATGTCACTTTAAAATATAAATCCACTGAATGACAAGTCTCGAGCCCCCGGGCGCTGCGCTGGCAGATCGGGCTCTTGTGGTTCTTGGGCTCCCTCAGTCACACCCCAGCAGCAGCAGCCCATCCACGGGCTCTTCCTATCTGCCTGGCAGTCTCTTAGAGTGTGACATTGACTCAAGCCCTTCACGACCCTATGAGTTAGTTACTCATGCCGGCCAGCCGCCCTGTGACAGAGGAGGAAACTGAGTCATGGGGGGTGTGGTGCCTAGTCCACACAGGTGAGTGTGAGCACCGGGCTCAGGGCCTCAGCCTACGCGCAGCGCCCTCTCTGCGCGGGCACCGCCCAAGCCGAGGTCGGGCCAGCGGCTGCTGGGTGGCCCGCTAGGTGCTGCAGTGTG